ATTTGGCCCACATTTTAATAACTTGACACCCAATACTGTTTACTTTCCAATTTCCATTACTCATGCATCATCAAATTCAAACCCAGTTCTAGGAAGAAAAAAAAAAAAAAAAAAAACCATTGATTGTTTTGAGTTTAAAGAACAGTTTTTTAAAGTTTATCGTACAAAATTAAATAATATTTTAATTATTCACGTATTTTTTTATTATAATTTATTTCAAAAACAAATTGTGAAGTCGGTCCAGGAAATGGGTATCACCTTTGAAGATACAGATTGTTCTAGCCATTGTAGCGAAAAGAATAATGGCAAATCCCTGTGGGAAAGGAAACTCGATGATTATAAGACATGGGGTTGGTCTGACAAAGAGTTTTTAGCAGCATGTACGAAGAGTCCATGGTGTTTGATGGCATCTGTGGATAAGATTATGACGGCAATGGTCTTTTTTGTGAACAAAAGGGTTGGGATTCTGCCATTATCTCGGAACACCCAATTCTTATTACACTGAACTTGGAGAAAAGGCTTATCCCTAGGGCTGCAGTAATTTAGTTTTCGTTATCAAAAGGCTTAGAAGACTAATAGTTTGATTTGTAGGTTTAAGTGGCCTGAAAACACCTTCCAGCGGAGATTTGTGAATTCTTCTGATGAAACTCTCGGTTGTTGAAGCTGTAAATGAGAGGAACCCTTTATTTATGTTGAGGGGTTCAAGATGATGATTATGAGCTTGCAGGCAGGTAGGTGTAGTACAATTCTTACCCTGCTTCCCATTAACTAATGTACATGAGATATCCTTTAATCGCATAGGGCTGGGCAGGTAGACAATTCTCAACCACCCATAAGCCAAATCTTTACCTGCCACGCTGATGACAACCTTACTTTTTTATCCTTGAGCAACATGACAACGTCTAGACGGCATAAAACCTTTCTGAAATTTGATTGGCCTTGCTGACGTGAGCTTATGTCAACCCTGATTTTTTTGGCATATATAAATATAATATATAATATATATATATATATACATATGCACTCCACAATCCACATAATTAACTCAACCTCTGCAGGACCGCCGCCACCATTGGCAGAAGCAACTATTTTTTACAGTATCAGTGGATCACATCTGCAGCATGAACTGGTATGTCGAGTATTCTCTCTTTATATTATATTAAAGAATGAGACCAGAAAACGTTTTCCATAATATATATGTAAGTAAAACCATATTTTGATTTCATTTATTTACATTTATTAGTAATTTATGCATAAGATTAACAAGTTGGTGAGAAAATTTCCTCATTTCTTGCTAATATTTATCTTAAGAACAAAATTTTCCCAATTCTAATGCAATATGTACAATCTTCCTATGTCTCATTAATGAAAAAACAATCAAATAAAGACTATAATTAGTGTGTTCTGTTCTGCATCTAAAGAAAGAAAGATAATGCCATCCTTAGAGATTTAGTATCAGTATTCCTTAAAACTTCTTGAGCATGATCGTGATTGACTTAAATGTTTCTAAGATTCATTTCTATTGAGCTCAATGTTTTCATGATGGTGACTGTTGATCATCTCGTCTTTTTATTGCTTATAAGGTGTTGAGCTGTTTGTGTGTTGACAGGAAATCTCTCCCATCATGGAACAAAATGCTCGTTGTGGATCTACTCTAAACCAAGAAAATGAGTCGATTAATCCAAATGGCAAATGCTAAGAACTCATCACATAATAAACAAAGAAAGTTGAAGTGTTTTCAATCTTTGGAGCTTTAGAGAAACGTTTCAGTCAGAAACTCTTGGAGAAAGCCCTAAAGATGGGAAACATGAATCTCTTGAACAAGGAATTGATAGAAAGAATAAAACAGGTGGCTTTAGAAGCCCATAATTGGCAAAACAGAGCTAAGTACAACGAGTGTCTTGTAACTGCCCTAAATTTCAACATCCATCAATTAATTTCAGAGAGTGCTGGCCAAGGCAATGAAGGATTTGGAGAAAGTGAAGTTGGTGATGCTGCTTCATGCATTGACGACTCAGACAATGATGCAGAATTAGATTCTAGGAATCATGGCTTTATCTGCAGAGCATGTAAGGCAGAGGAAGCCTCAATCTTGTAGTTGCCTTGCAGGCACGTGTTTTTGCAGAGATTATCACTTATTTGGGTTATTAAATTTAATTTAGAGTTAACGACATTTTCCCACCCAAATAATGGTTGAATGACACTTTTTTACCCACAAACTTTTAACATATCACTTTTTCACTCAAAAAATACACTTGTTGATTTAGCGGCGAACAGAGAGCAAACCCGATTTATGCTATTAGAGCTTTTGAAGAGGAGAGGTTGTTGAGTGGCGTGCTGTCGTAGGCACCCAGAATTAAAACCTAAAAATACACGTAGTAGTGTAAGTCAGGGTCGATCCCACGAAGAGTGTCTAGCTGAATTTGCTGTTATGTGAACAAGGCTGGGGTTTTTTTTTGTAAAAACAGAAAACGTTTCCAGGAAAAGAAACAACTCAAATCGAAATCAATTAAAATGACGGAACTTGGTCTCCGTCAACATCCACCATCGGAATCTTACAACTGTTCATTGACGCGAAGATAATCAATTCACACATTGAATATTCACCGTTGGAACTAATTTCCTATCTCTCCTTAATTGTAATTAATCAGGAAACAAGCGATCCTAATTAATCTTACCCCTAAACAACCCTAGACAAGCGCTCAAGATTTAATCTAGTGGCAGCCTTAAGAATTAGAGAGATCGATGAAGCTAAACAACACAAACACAAGCGGTTGTATTTAATTTAGTTGAATGTTCTTCGTAAGGTTATTAATTCCTGACGCAGCAAATTACTAACCCTAATTGCTTCGCAAGTTGGAGGGATCAAACAATTACGGATTTGATATCTAACTTAGCAGTAGATTGCAACAATTAATAAACTAGTAGGCCTCCCTAGTAATTAAACAAAACAATCATAAAATTAGGCATAGAAAAACATCCAATACTCAAACACGAAAATTGAACACAAAGAAAAATATATTAGATCTCACAGTTTATCGATTCCGAGGCTTCCGTTTACTTCGACCAAGTTATCAAAATCAGCCTCTCATGGCCATCACCGAATTACAGAGGAAAAGTTCAGAGGAGACCAGAGAGAGGCGTCTGTCCCCCAAAAACTAATCTGATCTCCCTAATCAAAAATCTAATTCAAGTGTTTGAATCCAACTCAATCTCCTAAAATCAATTATCCTAATCTGATTCTAATTAATTGAAAATACAATAAAGTATTAAAAATAAAAATAGGAAAGTGATGTGTCCAGCTGTAACTCGTGTGTCACATGTCTTCAAATCTTCCAATAATAAACTGCCTCTTGGACTTGCATTACAAGGCAGAATGTTCCAGAACATCGGCAGTGCAGATGCGTCAACTTCAAGCCCAATTAAAACCTTGATGCAGCAATTATCTCTCCAAACTCAAAACATAAAAGTTGTAGATATATTTCTTAGCGTTCTACAGCATTTTGAATCATCTCAATCGGAGCTCAGATGAGAGAGTTATGCCCAAATACGAAACAACATCAAAACTGTCCGAATTCACTTAATTAGTTCCGTTTTGCAATTAACGCTCCCATTTGCTTCCTAAGTCAAAATAGAATAAAAATCAGTACATTTTAGGCAGAAAATAGGTATAAAAGACTAGGCATTAAGGGGGGTAAATATGACATTTTGCATTCTCATCATTGAGCCTTTAGATGGTGGAAGGTTGGATTTCAGTGGTCGTGATTGGTCAAAATTTGACTTGATAGGGGTAGCTGCGTAAACCCTAATCGCTCGATTGCCGACGAAAATAAGGTTTAAAAGGTTTTGGTGAGTGATGATCAATGAAAATAATGATGGTGGTGTGGGATTACAATTATATCAGAATTGACCTGAGACTGGCGGGGTTGGTGGGAAAGTGTCATTAAAAGGAGTCATTTGGGTGGGAAAAAATCAATTACTCTTTAATTTATCCTCGATGTTATTTCACTCTTTAACCCTCCATATTTACGGAGACAAAAGTACCCTTGAATCAATCAAATAAAACTTATACAATTCAATTCTCTCCCTTCCCACCACTTTATTATCATTTAATTATTAACTCCATACAATGGTTATTATGTATCTTATTATATAATTCGATACGAGTCGCTAGCGATACGTATTAGATAGTGCATCCTAAACCTTTTGATACATTGATATATATCCCACGATATGATACGTATTCATTCATATTCTTAAAAATATCGATACGACTTTATTAATGTGGGCCAAAGGCCTAAAAAAATTTCAGGTTGGATTCTGGTCACCCAACTCGATTCACTAAAACTTGCCCAAATTTATCAATTTTACATGGAGAAAATGAAAAGGAACATGTGTTGCCAATTTTGCATAATAATAATAATACAAATGGTGATATATAGATATTGATATTGATCTTGGAAATAATATTAAAGATTGAGAGAAAATGATATAGAATCTTAATTTTATGATTAATTTTAATTACATAATACCATAATTTAAAGCTAATAATACTACAAAATTCTTTAATTAATCTTTGGAATGATATTAATTTTTAGAAAAATTTTATTATTTTTTATTTTTTTAAAGAGGCATATCTTACGATACAATACAATATGCGATACATGATACGAAAAATTAGGTTTTCGATATACGATACGATACGATACGATACAATATGTGATTGGACAACCATACTTCATACTCTTTTGTGTAACATAAGCAATCTTTTGCAAGGTTAAAATAGTAAAAATTCATTTGGTAACAGGTGCCCGAGTACTATTGATCATCAATCAAGCCCTTCAAAATGGACCAACGTTTCCCAAAATTCAAAGAAAACTTTATAATGGACCACCACATGGCTTTCCCTAAATTTATGCCCGATGTTAAGCACTCACAGACCCAAATTTTCATATTAAATAATAATTATTAGATCTAGAAGTAAACAAAGCAAGAAGCATTTGATCGCTTCTTTTTGACTTCCTTTCCTTCGTTTGCAAGCAATGCGTAAACATTGAAAAATACAGGCCAAAATTGCTATATATTCACTGAAAGGTGGCTCAGTTTTTCTCATTCAAAAGCTTACCTACTGAATTATTTAGGCTCTTTTGTAAGGTGAGAAATGGAAGCAAGAACCATGGAATTTGATCCTCAGTTGTATCTTTATTTTCAGGTAGGTATTTGTTTTCTTGCTTTAATTCCATTTCAATCTCGGGAAAAAAATATCTCCCTATCTGTGTACTTTTATGTAGGTGGGAAAGGAAACAATCAGCGAGGGAATGAAGCGTTTGCGAAATTTGGCACACTGGTACAACTCGATTCCAGAAAAGGCCGGATTATTTGATGAAATCATCACTTATCTTCAATCTCTTCAACAACAAATTAAGGTAACATTACATATTAACATGTTTATTCGTCTTCAGTTGTTTTTTTTGGGTGGTGGTTGTTTTACTGTCTGTATGATATTCTTCCTATAAAGAATTATCTTATGTGAATCTTGAAAATAAAATATAAAAAATGGTTCATGTGGTTATTTTACCGTCAAACAAAAGGTAAATTAGAGTTAGATTTGGGTTCTTTGTTTTGATGGTTTTGGTGAAGTAAATAATTCATGATATTTAATATTTTTTTATCATTAAAATATATAGGAGATTGAATCTTTAGCGCAACGGGGAGAAGCACATGTATCTTCCAATATCAATACAACAGATCTGCACCACGGGCAGGTAACTCTCTCTTTTACATATTAATAAGAGGAAATCTAGAATATAACCTATGCTATAGTAGTTAATCTCAACTGTTCATCTTTAGCTCACAAGGATTGATGGAAGAATTTGTGAGCTGTCATCTTGTATATATTCAAACTGAAACAAATGAATCATTTTTGGAAATTCTTTTCTTAAAACTTTATCTGTTCATCTCTTTCTTCTTCAAAGGTATTCACTAGCAAACTATAGAAATAGACTTGGTCGCCTAAAATATTTGTATTCATTGTCTCGTCCAGGTTAGTTAAATTTTCTTTTTATTGTTTAATTATTAGGTGATAAAGCTATTTGTATATTAACAGGAAATTACCCAAATAAGAGAACAAAATAAAGAGATTGAGATGGTGATGAATAAAGATGTGGAGAATTCATCATGTTCTAAACGGAAAAGGCGGTCAAAGGTTTGGGAAGACTTCACATACTCTGTAGGCAAAGATGGGAAAGAATGGGCTCAGTGTAATCACTGTAAGAGAAAGTTTGATGGATCAAGTAAGAGTGGAACCACACATCTCAAAAATCATTTGAAAAGCTGCCCAGTTTTGAAAAATCCAAGTGGAGTTTCTGATAAAGCAAAAGAGAAAAGTGTGATTGATCTAGAATTGAATGGCTCTGATTTGTTGCAAAAGATTATTAAGTATCGGCTAGAATGCATAAAGGATGATATACTTAATGTTTACCAAGAAGAGAAGGATAAGCTTCGTGGATATTTAGATAAACTCCCATGTCGACTTAATGTGACAATTCAGCGTGATGACTTTGGTGGGTGGTCAATGAAAATCTGGTTTATTAATGATAGTTGGGAGTTGAAAAATTGGATTATTTGTTTTGGAGAATACAATCATGATTTCGTTGAAAGTGTGAAGTCTTGGCTTGTGGATTGGAACATAGACAAAAAAATTTCTGCGATAAGAGTTGGACATTTTGATGATTTTGAAGAGAAGGAAGAAGAGAATATTTGCAATTGGTTGAATGAACGAGGTTCACTTTCCTTCACTGGGATTTGTCTTTCGGTTTCTTCTTTATTACAAAGAATTAAAATTGATATCCATTTAATTTGGTTGGCAAACAATTTGCGACAAGATATTTCAACTAAATTGGATAAGCTTTCGGACTACGTTAGAACAAATGAAATTAAGTTTCAATCAGCGATTGAAAAAGCTGTGTCCATGGGCAAAACAGTAACTTCAGAACCTGCTCCTCCATCACGGGTGGGACGCAAGTATGTGATTGAGTGGGCAATGAGATGTAAAGAAGCATTTTGTGTACTGGAGGATATAGATCCTGATTTCAAGTCTATAAATTTTATAAAAGAGGATTGGGATGAGACAACTTTACTGTATAACAGTTGGAAAATGTTAAATGATTGGAGAAAAGATGTCGATAACTTGTTATATCCTAAACATAAAACCGCAAATGAGTATTTCCCAATGATATGTCAGATTTTTTCGAAATTGGTTCAAATGGGAAAAAGTGATAATCGTTATATTTGCGACATTGCATCACATTTTCGAAATAATTTTGATGAATGTTGGAACAATTCTAAGTTGGTTTTAGTGACTACAGTAATTTTGGATCCACGATTCAAAATGGATTTTATTGTAGAAAAATTCTATAAAGAGATGTATGGTAATGATGCAAATGCATGTCGTAGCAAAATCATTGATGATATTACAAACATTTTCAACAAATATGCAAAGAAAACTAATAATTCTATGTCATCATCTTCTCAAGAATCAGAACTCAACTGCTATTTGAGTGATTCCAAGTGCCATTCAGATGAAGGGTTTGATATACTAAAATGGTGGCGTCTCAATTCTTCAACTTATCCAACACTAGTTAGAATGGCACGTGACTTTTTATCAATACCTATCTTTGTTATCGATGAAGATGATTCCTTTAGCGATGAAGTTACAAATGTTCATGATTGTCTTAAAAATCTCAATGATGATGATGACTTCAAATGTAAATTCGCATGTACAAGATTTTGGTTGAACAATCTTGAAAATAATTAATTATATGTTGTTGAAATAATAAATATGTTCTTATCTTTTCCATTTACTTAATTTTGTCCTTTTAATACTAGTTACCCATGAAGCTAAAATTATATATANAATAATATTTACTAATATTTCATATATATTTCTCAGCTGTTTTTCTTTATTAATAAAATTAAAATTAAATTGATTTTAATGATTTTCAAAAGCAATTTCTAAACATAACGACTCCGTTTGGTTCATTATTCTGATGGTTTTTAGAATAATATTTTGAAAAAAGTTAAATTGGACGGGTATTATGATGTAAGATTTGGAAACTAACAAAAACATTCCTTATGTTTGTTTATTTACTAAACACCTCTATAATAAAATATTAAGAGTTAACAAAAACACTTCTAACACACCTATTAAATACGGACAGCCGACCACCATCGTCGGAGGGTGGTCGGAGTGTTTTTGCAATTTCTAAAAAAAATATTTGGGGATGTTTAGTTAAATTAACAAATTTATGAGGTTTAAAATAAATTAAAAAATATAGAATAATATTTTGAAAATAATGACATTTTACTGTTTAACTTTTTTGGGAATACTAATAATAGTATTCCCAAAAGCGAACCAAAGGGGGCCAACTTGTTTGAGAAAAGATTCATGCCATAGTGTTACTAGTCTTTCTTCAAGAACCACCAATGTATATATATATATATATATATATACATATATGAGCACAGATTTTACTAATTTTATTATTGCTGCAATGCCAATGAGATCTTTACATTTAAGCACTGAGATTGACTTCTTATTTCTGTGAAAGTCAAAAGCTCTTATTGTAAATACAAACTCTTTTTCCATTTGCCTTCACAATGAAATAGGCAGTCAGTTGCTATATATATTTACATAACTTAGTAGCCTGGACCACCACCTCCCTCTGGCACTGTCCATTCTATATTTTGCTTTGGGTCCTTGATGTCACAAGCCTGAACATCATTCAAATTAACAAAACGTTATTTATAACGTGCAATATAATGTCACAATTCCTAACATATGAAATGCTATGATGAAATTATGTTTTCGAAAACAATTCCAATTTGGGAAAATCTCATCGACTTCTCTTAGAATTGCGGAAATGGTAATAAACATTACCTTGCAATGCAAGCAGTTTACAGCATTGATCTGCAACTTTAGCTGATTCTCGTTGTCTGAGACATACCTTCATTTCAGATTAAGATGAAACAGATATATCAGAGATTGATCCATGTCAAGAAAATGTGAAGCACAGGGACAATATAGTGACTCAGGTGCACCATATTTCGACAAATTCACAAGTTCTGGTATCTTTGGGTCCCATTAAGCGAAAATGAGCTGGCTGATCTTGTTCATGATTTGTGTTGCTCCTAAATAGGCAAGCAAAGATAAACATATCATTTAAATTCATAATGGTATGAGAGTTTATTGTAATATATGATCAATACAAATGTGTGATTAATTTAGGTTTAATTAAGCTATTATATTATTAAATTTATTATGCTATACATCACTTAATTATACAATATGTTATGTTTATCAATTTACCATACTATATTTATTATTTATTAATTGAAATGCTATCTTATAATATTTAATTATTGATTACATTTTGAAAAATATGAAGCTATTATGTTATTATATTTACTATATTATATATCACTTGATTATACAATCTATTAAGTTATTAAATTTGTCATGTTATGTATCATAATAATTTATTACTTTTTAATTAAAATGCTATATACTTATATATTTAATTATTGATGATAATTGGAAAAAAAAAAATCCACACATATTATATATATAAGAAAAACAAAAGTATCATAATATTTTATTATTGATTATCATTAAAAAAAAATTCATCCAAACTAAATCAAACATAATATAAAAATGAAAAAAATTATTTAAATTATAATAATGCATAACATGTTTTTCGAACATAAACGAATGAACAATCAAACGATTGTTCACGAACGGATGGATCAGTCGAACGTATAGTGTTCACGAACATAATCGAACGAACAACACTTGTTCGAACTCGATCGAACATATTATCGAACGAATATCGAACTGTTCACGAACATTATCGAACAGTAATCGAACGAACAACGAACGTTTGCGAACTGTTCGGTTCGTTTGCAGCCCTATCGACTCCTATGGTCATTGATAGAAACTGATATAGCTAAAGTTTTATACAAAATGTAAACGATAAAATTTACAATTGAATTTAAGAAGACAGAATCTTGTGGGGTGAGCCGTTGACAATCTTGGTGGCCCTGTGGAGGGTGTCCCTACGACTAGGGGGGAGGTTTAGCAATGTAGGGAAGTTGGAGTACATGAAGAGCTTGGGAATACGGGTACTGGAACTTTGGGGTGGTTTCTGAATGCCTAATGAGAGGGTCAGCCCTTGTTTATATAGTAAACCCAAGGGGTCCGAATCCTAATAGGACTTTGAGTCCTACTTAGTATGTGAGTTCTCTTTTCGAAAAGAAATTAGATCTTCTACCTTTATTGGTTCAGGCTTTCCTCTTTGGGTGAGATGTAGGATCTTGTTAAAAGAGAAATTTGACTAGGATTATGATCCTTGTTATGAACTACTGTGGGTGAATGGGCCAAACCCAGTTCAGTTTAACTCGTAGGATGACCCAACTCATAAAACAGGCAGTTCACAAGGTATTCTAAGCATATACTCAATCGGATTGGGCCAAGACCTTGGGTTGTTGTATATTTATGATGCTATTGGACCTCGTCAAGTCCAATACGATTTTTGGCCCATACAGTTTGTTCCCCACTCTCTAAGTTAAAGGTTATTTAGCTTAAAGAGTAGATTCAATTACTCACATTCGGGATGCAGATAGATCATTGCTCCTAGGCGGAGAGTTTGATCGTCTACGGTGTCTAGGGGACACGTCTAGATTGGCTTGGTATCAATGGCCAAGCCGAATGAAAAAGAAATCATGGGGATTTCGTGTGAAGTCTCTAAGAAAGTCATTAGTACCGCTCGGTTCGGCGGTGTTTTAGCGAGGAGTACTTTATCTAAGCCGAGCGGGATGCATTTAGTCTAGATCTTTCATGCGCGATCATCCGATGTTGGCCTAGCTCGTTCCGTTTTGTACGCTATAGGATAGTTGGATAAAGATTGGTGGTCCGAGCACAGCCAATCGAAGTAATTGTCGAGTTCTCGAAGAGGTGAGGGCATAAAGGTGTGGGTCTTCGATCTTAATTTGAGGCATCTTGTTGAGAATGTTGGAGCCACGCTGATTTTGCAAGATTGAAGGATCCCAGGACGACATGGTCTGGATACTTAGGTGCCTTGCCTTACGGGGATCACGTGCGAGATACGAGAGGCGGGAAACAAAAAGTTTCCACGTTCTAGTGGCCAATAGAATTCTGCCATGTAACGTCCAACATGGAGGTACATGATTTAATTTATGTTTTTATAGCCCTTAGTTAATTTTTGTTAAAGTGATTTTAAGAGAATATGAAGAAAATGCCATAAACATGCATTAAGGGTAAAATGGTCTTTTCACTCAAAATTAGTTGAAAAAGTGGGGAGTGAAAAGAAATAGAATTTCATAGAGAATGCATTAAAAATGAGGGCATTATGGTAATTGAATAAGGGACATAGATGGAATTTTTAAGAAAGAGTAAGGGCAAAATGGGAAAGTGTGTTTATAAACTAAAGTGTTAAGGGTTTGAAACCCTTATTTTCTTCATTCCACCACCACACTCCTTCCCTATTTTCTCTCAAATTTTCATTCAATCCTCCAAGAATTTTGAGGGCTTTTGAGTGGTTTTTCATAGGGTTTTGATTTTAGGCTTCAAGAGGTAAGGATTCTTGCTCTTTATCTATGTTTTATTTGTATAAAAGTTGAGTTCTTATGGAGTTTATGCTTAGAGTTAAGAGAAGATTTGAATCCAACAAGAGTAGAGAGCTTAGTAGAGACTACTCAAGCATAAGGTAAGTAAATTCCACTCAAAATCCAACTTAAGTTAAAGTTTAAGAAAATCAAGTGAGTAGAGATTTCTTTTAAATATGCATATGTTATTATTATTGAGAAATTGAGATGAGATGGATGATTAGTTATGCTTATTGTTGGATATACTTGAATATGAGGAGTGTATGTGGTGGTTTGATGATGGGTTGAAATTGGAAGAATTGGAGAAACTTTTGGGAGTGTTTTTGCCATGTAGGTATGGTGATGTTACAAGAGAATTTTTCTCTCAATTTGGATGGTTTAAGAAACAAATAGAATGATAATTACATTAGGGTTTGCTCATGCACAAGTATTGTTTGATGAGAGGCCTAAGAGAAGTATGAGTTGAGTGAAAACCTTAATTTTATGCAACATTGCATATGTGCATTTCATAAGTGCATTTAAGTAAGAAATTTTAAGCATGAGCCATCCATATGCATGTAATTGTGTATTTGTAGAAACTTAAGAAAGAAGAAAGAAGAAAGAAGAAAGAAAGAAAGAATAAAACATTCTAAGAATAAAGAGAAATAAAGAATAAGCATAAAAGAATTAAAGAAAGAAAAAGTGTTAAAGAAAAGAAAAGAATAGGTTGGTGTGATAGGGAACCCTGAGTGTTAAGAAGAAAATCCCACATACACATCACCTTAATTGAGTGGCATAAGAAGAAGAAGAATTGTACGATCAGTAAGAGTGTATGTGGATGAGGGTTGTACCAAGAAGAATTCGTACATGCACATCACCTTAATTGAGTGGCCTAAGAAGAAAGAAGAATTTGTACGATCCGCAAGAGTGCATGTAGATGAGGACTATACTCACTCACACGGCCAAGGTTCCGAATCCATACATCAACCGAGTCCGATCGGCAAAGAATAAGAAAATAAGGAATGAGAAAGCTTGAACAAGCAAAGAAAAGAAAAGAAACAAGAAATAAAAGAGAGGCTTGGGCAAGCAAGACAAGAATAGAAAAGAAAAGAAATAGAAAGAAGAAATAAAATGCATTTTTTTTATGCATTATTGCATATGCATTTCATTTATGCATATTCCCATGAATTTTATTATGGTTAGAAAGAATAGAAGAGTAGCAAGAAGAGAAAGAATAGAAAGAGTAAGAAAGAAAGAAACAGAGAGAATTAGAAACAAAGAAAAGAACAGTGAGAATTAGAAACAGAGAAAGAAAGAAGAAGAGAATTAAGTAAGGAAAGAATCAAAGAAGAAGAAAAGCTTAAGGGATTTACTTACTGAGCATTTTTATGCTCACCCCATTTTTTTTTCATGTTTTTGTAGGAAATAGGTGAGCAGTGGTCGAAAGGACGTGACAAGCAGAGAGAAATGGCATTACTACCACCGTTGCTAAGTGGCGTGCTGTCGTAGGCACCCAGAATTAAAACCTAAAAATACACGTAGTAGTGTAAGTCAGTCGATCCCACGAGAGTGTCTAGCTGATTTGCTGTTATGTGAACAAGGCTGGGGGGGTTCTGTGTAAAACAGGAAACGTTCTTAGCAAAGACCAAAAACAAAACAGTTCAATTCGAAATCAATTAATATAACGAAACTTGGTCTCCATCAACATCCACCATCGAAATCTTACAACTGATCATGTGCGAAGATAATCAATCACACATTGAATATTCACCGTTGGAACTAATTTCCTATCTCCCTTAATTGTAATAATCAGGAAATAAGCGATCCTAATTAATTTACACCGACTAAACAACCCTAGACAAGCGCTCAAGATTTAATCTAGTGGCAGCCTTAAGAATTAGAGAGATCGATGAAGCTAAACAACACAAACACAAGCGGTTGTATTTAATTTAGTTGAATGTTCTTCATAAGGTTATTAATTCCTGACGCAGCAAATTACTAACCCTAATTGCTTCACAAGTTGGAGGGATCAAACAATTACGGATTTGATATCAAACTTAGCGGTAGATTTCAACAAATAATACACTAGTAGGCCTCCTAGTAATTAAATGCATCAATCATGAAAATATGCACAGAATAAATCATAAAAATATGCACAGAATAACATTCAATACTTAAACACGAAAATTGAGCACTAAAATAACATAGATTAGATCTCACCGTTGGTTGATTCCGAGGTCTCCGTTTCCGACGACCAAGTCACAAAAGTTTTAGCCGCTCATGGCCATCAACAAAAGCTCAAAAAAGAAAGAAAAATTCCAGAGAGGAAAAGAGAGAGAGGCGTGGTCCCCTCAAAACCTAATCTGATCTCCCTTTCCAAAAATCTAATTCAAGTGTTTGAATTCAACTCAAT